AAAATGAGAGGGATGCTAAGAGCAGGGAGATTGAATCAACAGATGAATGAATAAACAAAATGTGGTCTGTACATACAATAATATTCAGCTTTGAAAAGAAATGAAGTTCTGATACATGCTATAACATGGATGAACCTTGAAAGTATTATACTAAGTCAAATAAGCCAGACATAAAAAGATAAATATTGTATAAGTCCACAACTATGAGGTACCTAGAATACAAATTCACAGAGACAGAAGGTAAAATAGAAGTTACCAGGGGCTGGAGAGAGACAGGAAGCGTGAGTCATTATTTAACAGGTACAGAGTTTCTGTTTAGGATGATTAAAACATTCCGAAAATGGTTTTACAACATTGTGAATGTACTTAATGCCACTGAATTGTACACTTACAAATGGTGAAAGTTTCATATTACATGTATTTTACCACAATAAAAAAAAAATGTTTAAGCAGGTTGGTAAGTATTTCAAATAGAGGGAAAAGCTGTGCAAAGGTCCTGAAGCTAATATGAACTTGACATGTCGGTGGGAAAGAGTAATGGGAGATGTAACCTGTAGAGAAGCTAAAAGGCCAAACCCTATTGGCTTCCGAGGCCATAGTTAGGAGCTTGGATTTTATTCCAATTGCAGTGGCCATTTCAGTGTTTTTAGCAGAGTTGTAAGCAAGGAGAGAGGATAATCCAATTTATGTTTCAAGAGATTCATTCTGCTGCTGTGTGGGGGAGTGGGCTGGAGCAGGCATGCATCAAAGTGGATTCTTACAGGGACTTTTCAGTTCCAGACATACTGCCAGTAAGAATTCCCAGCTTGGCCTGGCTGGTGTGGCTCAGTGGATGAGCATTGACCCATGCACCAAGAGGTCATGGGTTGGATTCCCTGTCAGTGCACATGCCTGGGTTGCAGGCTCGATCCCCAGCAGGGGACATGCAGGAGGCAGCTGATAGATGTTGGTGTTTCTCTCTCATCGATGTTTCTATCTCCCTCTCCCTTCCTCTCTCTCTCTAAAATCAATTTTAAAAAAAGAATTCCCAGCTCGAAAGGAAGAGGTGGCCCTATTGGCAGGGGAGCATATCTGGATGAGAGATGTTTCTGGAACCCTCCCACTGGTGTGCCCACACTGCAAACCACTCCTCACCACTCTGGGGGGGGGGGGGAGCAAACTCCTCAAAGGGAAGAGCAACACCTCCACCTCCTTGTGACAATCCACATCCCCACTGAAACTCTGTCTTGGCCCCTTCCCTTCACATAAGCCAAGGCGCTCAGCCTGGCATGGCAGTGGTGTAGTTGTCTTTTCTCTCCTGCCAGACTGCAGACTTTCTTAGTCTCAGGATCTATCAGATCCAGTATGAGACCCGGACTCTCTTTTTGTTGTTGAAGATGACACGGTTTGGGTGATTCCCTCACCTTGCCCCTGGCCTGGTTGAATTTTTAAAAACTTATGTTCGCTAAGCTGCCACTTACAACTTGTATCTTTGCTGAAAATTAAAAAAAATAGTAACAGTAACAGCCCTGGCCAGTTTGGCTCAGCAGATAGAGTGTTTGCCTGCAGACCGGAGAGTCCTGGGTTTGGTTCCCGCTAAGGGCACGTGCCTCGGTTGCAGTTGCAGTTTGTCCCCGCCCCGGTTGGGGTTGTACAGGTGGCAACCAGTTAGTGTGTCTTTCTCACATGGATGTTTCTCTCTCTCTCTTCCCCCCTCTCTCTCTCCTGCTCTATCTGAAGATATAAGCAAAAATATCCTCGGGTGAGGATAGAAAAAAAAAAGAAATAGTAACAATAGCAAAATGATAGGGAATACAGGGTAGAGCTACTGTCTTTTCCAGAGGGTCGATGGAAATGTGTGAGTGACATTCCCATCCAGTCCTACCTACATCAGAGCGGGACCACAGGGGCCTTTCATCCTCACTTCCAGCTCTGAGGCCTGCGTGGATGGGGACCCATGTCACAGGCCCCCTGCCAGGGCAGCAGAGCCTCCGGGGACACAGTGATCGGAAGAGCATGAACAACAGGTCCGCCAACTGTACCTTCTCCGCCGGGGAAGCCCGCTCTCCGACGCAAGCGCCGCCATCTGTACCTCACAGCTGCTGCCTTCGCAAGTACCTGCTCCTCCGCAGCACCCACCTTCACAGTTTGCTTGTGTTCTGGTGGAATTCCCAATTCCTGTGGCTTTATCACTCTGCGCTAAAAATACAGTGCTGCTGGCACATGGCCCAGATTCTGGAGGCCCAAAGAAGACTGAAGGATAAGTAAGAAGGGGTGTGCTCAGAGAGGAGCAGGCACAGCCCCTGAGAAGCGGTGAGCATGTGGTGACATGGGGGAGGCGGAGGAGGGTGTCCGCTGGCGGAGAGCAATTATTAGAGGAGGGAAAAAAGAAGTGAGGACCGTCTAAGTAACAGTTCTCTGGGGAATATAACAAGCACTCTCTAAACTTCTCTGTTCTCAGTCCAACAACCCAGATGGAAATCCAGTTTCCAAAATCATACAAATTGTTTTACATGGGGTTTCCTGTATAAATCCGTAGGGAGTTCTTTGATATGCATTATGACACATTTGAATCCAAGTTCTGCATTTCAATGGATCCACTGAAAGATAATGTTAGAAATAACACATAGTTTTAGAATTTTTCACTTTTAACTGTTAAAAATGTGTTTAGAGCCGAGCATATCCCTGAGGTTTCTCAGTTGTGCAATAAATTCAATGAAAATGAGCCCCCCCCCTTTTTTTTCAAAAATGAAAACAGCTTTGTTATATGTTTAAAATTCCTTCAACACAGAAAGTACATAAAATATAAAAATAATTCAGGACTCCCCCGCAAGTGGATATTACCACTGTAACATTTTGCTGTATAATAGCCTTCTAAACTTTTTCATAAACATATATGAACTATTTCAAAAATCAGATGATATTACTCATACAGTTTGCAACTTAGCAATATACTATTAATACCTATGTCGATAAATATTCTTTTCCAACATCATTTTTACTGGCTATATGATATTCCATTTTATGTATATGCCATAATCTATTTAACCAATCTCTTATTGATAGACATTTGAGATTGTTTCCAATATTTCACTATTATAAAGAGTTATAAACAAATATAACTATAAAAAATTTAAAATGTGAGTGCTTTATACTTCTCCCTACAAATAATTTTACAATCTGGATGAAATAGATAATTTTCTAGGAATGTGTAAATTATCAAAATGGATACCAAAAAGGAAAAAAAGCTAAAATAGACCATTAAGTATAGAATTTTTTTTTTTTTTTTAATTTTTTTTTTTTATCCTCACCCGAGGATATTTTTCCATTTTTTGTACAGATAGAGTGGGAGGGAGAGAGAGGAAGGAGAGAGAGAGAGAAACATCGACATGAAGGGACACATCGAGTGGCTGCCACCCGCACGACCAACCAGGGCCGGGGACAAACTGCAACCGAAGTACGTGCCCTTAGCGGGAACCGAACCCGGGTCTCTCCGGACCACAGGCCGACGCTCTAACCGCTGAGCCAAACTGGCCAGGGCTAAGTATAGAATTTTTTAATTAAAAAAAAAATTTGACTACCTCTCCAAAAGTACCACATCCAGGTAGTTTTCCAGGTGAAATCTCCCAAATCTTTTAAAAGTCTGCTTATAGTATTCCAGACAAAAGAGAAAGTAAAAAATTCTTTCATGTTCTCTTTTTAAAATTCAGGATAACACTGATGCCAAACCCATAAAAATGGCAAAGAAAAGAAAACAGACTAATATCATTTATGAATATCAATGCAAGAATTCTAAGTAAAATTTAGAATGTATAATCTACATTAAAAATAAATAAAACACCAAAAACCCAGAAGAATCCATTCCAGCAATTAGTATTGATCATTATCAAGAAATCGAATAATATAACCCACTATATGACAGTTTAAAGAGAAAAAAAATATGCTCATCTTAATACATGCCTAAAAGACATGTAAAAACGACTCATTTTTAATTTTTAAAATCCTAGTAAAATGGGAAAAAATGGATGCTTCCTTAAGTTTATGTATATATAGCCAAAAACTAGTAAATCTGGTAATAGATGAAGACAGAGAAAGCCAAAACTAGAAAATAAACCAAAAGTCATCATCATAAAAAACGGAAGTAGTATACCAGTGTGATTGAGAACACAACCTCTGAAACTAGAACTGGATTCAAATTTTACCTCCACCACTATTTGTATGACCTTGAACAAATTAACTTCTGCATGCCTCAGTTTTCTCATCTGTAAAAATGTGATAATAGTACCTACTCATGGGGATACTGTAAGGACTAAATGAGTCAATACATAGACACAGTGTTTAAAACAGCACCGAGCACACAGTGCTATTTCGGCACACATAAGAACATAAGTAGATACAGTACACATAACATCTAAAGCCAAGTTCATTAATGAGTAATGAAACACTAAAAACCATTGCCATGGGGTGGTGGGGGTGGGAAGAGAGAAACCACAGAACTTATATGCATGTTTGCATAACCAATGGACATGGACATCAAAGCTGGGGACGGGGCGGGGGGGATGGGGAGGAGGGTTCCAAGGGGATAAAAAAAAAAAAGGAGAAACATCTGTAACAAAAATAAAATTTAAAAATTTAAAAAAAAGTTTAGGGCACTTACTAAATAAATAAATAAATAAATAAATAAATAAATACAGTTGCCATGAAAGTCAGGAATAAGACAAGAATATTCAAAGTCAACACTGCTATTTAAATTTTTGTTCTGAAAATACTAGCAAGTGATCAATCAAGAGAAAAACATAACTTTTATAAATGTTGAAAAATAAAAGATGGAATTATCATTATTTGCAGATGATAGGATAGTATTCCTGAAAAATCCAAGAGAATCAACTGAAAACCTATTCGAAAAAAATAGGAATTTATTGGGTTTAATTCATTCTCCACCCCAAAGAGAAATTTAAGAGAGAAAGATGAAATCTCAAATTGGTATATAAGCTGTGAACCTGAACCTTTTAAAAACTCACCTTGGCAATTTAATTTCGGGGACTCCCATGTGCCCAAGGCTGTGCAGCTTGAAACTGTATCTCCCAGGCCACTGAAAAATCCTTCTTTGCAAGCATAATGAACCTGGCTGCCAAGCCTTGAGGTATAATTTCCTATGATATAGGCATCTGGGACCTCAGGAGGGGTGCCACAGTCTATTTCTGAAAATAAATTAATATCAAATGCATTACTAGGTGAATATGAATTTTCAAAATTCATAATCTCTCTACCTCTACCCCATTCCCCTTCCCTACACACACAGACCCCAGCCATATGTTAAATAGGCTGATTCATTTCCACATGACTTCTGGGCATGTTTCCAATGATTCTCTCTCTTCAATCTTCTGACCCTCCATAGGTAACAGCATCTATACGTGCACAGGGCTGAAAGAATTTGGCAATCAACCCTCACTAGAGAGAAGCCTAGTCCAATGAAGTGAAAAATTTGAATTGCAAAATACCGAAAGAAAGAAAGAAAGAAAGAAAGAAAGAAAGAAAGAAAGAAAGAAAGAAAGAAAGAGAGATAGATATAGAGAGAGATATACACACATATGCACATACATATATATGCCTTTATAATTTTCAGAGTCACTTTTAAGATGCTGGTCCTTACCAGATCATCTGTGTTTACAAGTTTACATAATGGTCAATTTCAGAATATCTACTAACTGCTAAAAATCCTAAAATTTACTAATTTTAGTTTTTTAATATAGCCCCTTCTATCTTGATTATGTTGTTATTTGCTTATTTCATAGGTTGTATACATGTGCAAAGGGACTAATAATCTCCACCTACATCCCCAACACAGACCCATGGACGCAGGCTCAGAGCAGGAGAAAGTCACCACCCACAGAAACTCACATTCCGGTGCTGCATTCTTCACCAGAAACCCACCTGTGCATGACGTGGCATCTCTGGTCGGGTGGAAAGGCTCCGGTCCACTCTTTGGCAGGTATCCATCCACACAGTAGCATTTAAAACCCCCATGAGTGTTCACACACCGTCCTCCTTGCCCACATAGTCCGGAAACCTCACACTCATCTATGTCTTGAGACCCATCCAAATATAATAGGGAAAGAAAAACAGAAAAAGGCAAAAAAGGGAGGGGAATGTGACATTGTGACAGCCATTTTTCACATTCTCAGTCTACACTTATAAATGGATGCATTTGTTTACAATTGTATCATTAATTTTATTTTACTTTGTAAAGGATCTTCTCATATATTCTTCACTAAGAGGTGCTCTGTAAGTACTTGTGACCCTGTTCTAGGGATTTATAAAAACCAACAACCATCACCAACTCTCTGACACCAAACAAAATGAACCAAAAAGAGTGTGTTAAAAAAAATTCAGCCCTGGCTGGTGTGGCTCAGCTGACTGGAGCGCCATCCCACATACCAAAAGGTGGCGGGTTTGATTCCCACTTGGGGCAAGTCCAGGAGGCAACTGATTGATGTTTCTCACATTGAACTTTCTCTTTCTCTCTCTCTCTCTGTCCCCTCCCACCCGTTTCTTTGCTCTCAAATCAATAAAAGCATATCCTTGGGTGAAGATTAAAAAGTACAAAACAAGTTAGATAAGAGTGAAAATGCTTTTCAAAAATGAACATAGCAAACCTCAGAGGAGGGCGATAGGGGGAAGGGATGAGATAAACCAAAGAACTTATACGCACGAATGCATAACCAATGGACATAGACAACAATGCTGGGAGGAGGGGGGAGATCGGGAGGATGGTGTCTGGGGCAGAAAGGAGAAACATCTGTAACAAAAATAAATTAATAGAAATTGCAACAACAAAAAATGAACATAGGATAGTAAGACAGGTAATCGGGATAATTCGAAGGATCTCACTAATTTTACCAAGATAACAAGGCCTCAAAACAGGCCTTGGGCTGGCTTTGAGACTTGCTTTGGCCAATAAGAATGGGGTGAAAGTAACACTGTGCCAGGACCTAACTTTGAAGACACCCTGGCAGCTTTCTCTTTCCCTCTCTTAGAATCCAGTGACCATGCTGTAAGGAAATCCAGGCTCTTGCCCTTGGGAGAGAGGCCCTAAAAGATGAGACACCATGTGAAGAGAGGCCACAGTCAGCATCAGGGCCCGAGACGTGTGAGAAAGGCCTTCTCTCCCCTACCAGCCCAGCCCAGCCCAGCCACACGCTGAATGTATATACACAAGTAACAAAACTACCTAGCCATGGAATTGTGAGAAATAATAAACTGCTGTTTTAAGCCACTAAATTTGGGGTGGTGGAGAGTAGAGTTCTGTAGTAATAGATAATTAAGACACTAGACACATAAAGAGACTCAAAAGTCCAAACAAGATTAAGAGGAAGTTGCATTAATAAGAAACAATGAAGTCTTGGAAACGAAAACAAAATATAAAGGCCAAACATAAAAACTCAACCAGAAGCACTGAATAATAGGTCAGTCAATGCTGAAAAATAAATGTGTAAATTCCAACTTGAGGAATTCTCCGAAACACACAGAAAAAGAAATGATGATCTGGTCAGTATGGCTCAGTGGCTGAGCGTTGACCCAAATACCAAGAGATCACCGATTCGATTCCCAGTCAGGACACATGCTCAGGTTGTTGGCCTGATCCCCAGTGAGGGGCATGCAGGAGGTGGCCAATCCATGTTCTCTCTCACTGATGTGTGTGTGTGTCTCTCTCTCTCCCTCTCCGTTTCTCTCTAAAATCAATAAAGGAAAAAAAAAAAATTTTTTTTTAAAAGAAATTATATGAGATAGAATATAGGACAAAAAAATATGAGGACCAGTCCAAAATAGTCAATATCCATTTAATTTTTTTAGATTATATTTTTATACTATTCTGTATTCTTTTCCCCCCATCCCCCACCCCCATTCCGCTTGGCAACCATTAGTATTCATTTCAGAGTAATTGCAGAAGAGAATGGAGTAAATGTATAGAAATATTTTTTTAAATCCTCAGCTTATGTGTTCAAATCCAAATAACCTTTACAACTGCCAGGCATGAATGTTGAAAAAATGAAGGTCATTCTGAATGTCACAGAATAAGGGGGAAATGTATAAACCTCCTGAGAGAAAGGAATGGTAGTCTATGAGGAAACGAGAACCCATCTGACCTAGGACTTCTTGTCTAAAACACTGAAGGCTGGATAGCAACAGAGTAATGCCGACCGAGTTCTAAGGAAAAGGGAGCAAACATCAGGCTATATTTAAACAGAGGAATGACCTTTTAGACCATGAATGATCCCATACATCATACCACTGACATTTCTTCTCTGAAAAAGATTTTGAGAAAATACTGGAGCCAGTGAAAAACATCAGAATAAAGAATGTCAAGAAAGAGGAAGACATAATAAAACACAACGAAGAATGTTGAAAAATGAAACCAGTAAAACTTAGGGTTAAACAACTATTGATAATAAAATTATTATTTGTTTTGGCAATTGTCAAGGAAGAATTCTTAAAATAAAAATAACAGAGCCTGGCCAGTTTGGCTCAGTGGTTAGAGTGTTAGCCCTTGGACCAATGAGTCATGGGTTCGATTCTGGTCAAGGGCATGTACCTGGATTTCGGTTTGTCCCCAGCCCTGGTCAGGGTCGTGCAGGAGGCAACCAACCGATGTGTCCCTCTCACATTGATGTTTCTCTCTCTGTCTCCCTCCCTCTCCCTCCCTTCCACTTCATCTGAAGATAAATGGTAAAATGTCCTTGGGTGAAGATTGAAATAAATAAATAAATAAATAAATAAATAAATAAATAAATAAATAAATAAATAACAGAAAATAGCCCTGGTCAGTATGGCTCAATTGGTTGAACATCATACCCTGTCACCAGTTTCATTCCCTGTCAGGGCACATGCCCAGGTTGCAGGTTTGGTCCCTGGTTGGGGTGTGTACAGGAGGCAACTCATCAATGTTTCTCTCTCACATCGATGTCTCTGTCTCTCTTTCTCCCTCTCCCTTCCTATCTCTCTAAAATCAATAAAAACATTTTTAAAAATTAAATAAATAACAAAATAAATTCAATCTCAATCTAGGTCAAACTTTAGAAATGATTTCAACACTGTAGAATACAACATGTGCTTTTAGATTTGATCCATCATTTTAGCTTATCAAGATGTTTTGCTATTGTTGTTCATCCTCACTCAAGGATATTTTTCCATTGATTGTTTTAGATAGAGGGGAGGGAGGGAGGAAGAGAGAAAGAGAGAAGCACTGATGTGAGAGAGACACACTGAGTGGTTGCCTCCCACACGACCTGACTGGGGTGGGGATCAAATCTGCAACCCAGGTGTGTGCCCTTGACTGGAAATTGAATCTGAGACTCTTTGGTCCTCGGCCAACGTTCTAACCACTGAGCCAAACAAGCCAGGGCATCAAGATTTTTTTCAATCCCACTGAGGAATGTGTAAATGTGTATGTATGGCTTTGACACAGCCTATCCACCTGCTCCAGACCCCTCAAAAGATAGTGGGAATTACTGTTTTTTGTTTTTGTTTTTTCAGTAGAATTCTAAAAACAAGTAATACAGCCCTGACCAGTTTGGTTCAGCAGTTAATGTCAGCCCACAGACCGAAGGGTGAAGGGTGGCAGGTTCAATCCCTGGCCCTGGTCAGGGTTGTTCAGGAGGCAACCAATCAATGTGTGTCTCTATCTCTCTCCCTTCCTTCCTTCCACTCTACTAAAAATCAATGGAAAAATATCCTTGGGTGAAGATTAACCAAAGAAACAGCAGTACAGATAACTGTAGGGCAACAACGTGGCCCAGCAGCAGTGGCACGGAGAAGACATGCAGTTTCCGAGCACTGCTTAGCGCTGTGTGAGTCACTGCAGTCCTTAATCAGTTTGCTTTGTACAGTCATTCGACAGCCTTGTAGCAATCATCGTTATGACTGTTAGGAACTATTCCTGCACTTCATCTTGCACTTATCAGGCAATATTCTAAACTTTCATTATTTATTACTGATTATTTCCATCTTATTTAGTCCTCAAAATAACCTCGGAGGCAGATGCTATTATTATCCCCATTGTCAAGATAAAGTAGCTGAAGGTGATTGAATGCCTGGACTGAAGTCACGGAGGTAAATAGTGGGAAGCCAGGTATCTGGCTCCAGAGACCATATTCTGAACCACTATACTGCACCGTCTCTCCCATCACAATCTAATTGTATGATCATCCAATCAACAATTCCCCGCCACAGACATCAAAGGTATCATTAATTGCCTTAATGAAGCCTAGATATATCTACTAGGTATCATTAAGATGGGTATGACATGATTTTGACTTTTAATCCCCTGCCACCTCTCATGCTCATAAACCATCACTTTTCTAACCCATTCTAGGATCTTGAGTGGATAAACCCAGTAAGCTCATCAGAACAACTTCTCCACATACTGGTGAATTCCATGGTGTCTCCAAGGTTATATATGTTTGCTTGTGAAGAAAAAAAAAGTTCTAGCCCTGGCGGTAGAGTGTCGACCCCCAGACCACAGAGCTTCGAGTCCAGTCAAGGGCACATACCTGGGTTGCAGTTCATCCTGGCCCTGGTTGGGGTCCCATGTAGGAAGCAGCCCATTGATGTGTACCTCTCGCACTGATGTTTCTCTCTCTCTCCCTTTCTCTCCATCTCTCTCCCTCCCACTCTAGCTGAATAGAAAAATATCACCCTGGCCGGTTTGGTTCAGCAGTTAGAGCATCAGCCTATGGTCCAGAGAGTCCTGGGTTCAGTTCCTGCTAAGGGCACATACCTCGGTTGCAGTTTGTCCCCAGCCCCGGTTGAGGTCTTGTAGGTGGCAACCAGTCGATGTGTCTCTCTCACATCAAAGTTTCTCTCTCTCTCTTCCTCCCTCTCTCCCTCCTGCTCTATCTGAATATAAATGCAAAAATGTCCTTGGGTGAGGATAAAAAAACAAGTTTTAAAAAAATGAAAATATCCTCAGGTGAAGATTAAAAAAAAAAAGTTTTTTAATGTTCTAAGCAACTTTATTAACATACTTAACTAATCAAGGGGGGAAATCCCCTATATCCTATTCTATATATTGGATTATGTACCTTTTTTTTTAATCCTCACCCGAGGACATTTTTTTTTCATTTATCTTCAAATAGAGTGGAGGGAGAGTGGGAGGATGAGAGAGAGAGAAACATCAATGTGAGAGAGACACATCAAGGGGCTGCCATCCACACAACCCCAACTGGGGCCGGGAACGAACTGCAACCGAGGTCCGTTGCAGGAACCGAACTTCAGTTACTTAGTGGGAACTGAACCCAGGACTCTCTGGTCCACGGGCTGACACTCTAAATGCTGAGCCAAACCTGCCAGGATGAGGATTATGTAACTTTATCCACAGCTAGAACAATTTCTTGCTAGAAAGGAGCAAAACTGAGCAGGACACTCTGACCTGGTCCCAGGGCCCTGCAGTTCTATATTTAGCCCTTTCCACTAATAATAGCATGGGTTTGAAAGTCAGAAAGACCCAGGTTTGAGAACTGATTCTGCTACTTACTACATATACTAATGTCTGTTCCTTAACCTTTCTAAACCACTTCTGTTACATGAAGCTAATTATAGTAGGTTTTTTTGTGGGGATTCAATAAAACATGTAGAAAGCACTTAGCACAATGCCTGGCAGCCCGAAGGTCCTCAAGACATGTTAGCCAATGCATGAATGAGTTTGTATCTCTGCTGACTCAGATCTCCCTGGAGCACGAGCCACTCCTTCATACCTGAGCCTGAGCGTGGCCATGAGCAATGCCGCCCGGGGTCTGGGGAGTGGCCACGGCTTGTTCCACTGGATTTGCAAGCTCCGAGACAGAGCAGAAAGTCCTCCTAGAGGACCCTTCGCTGGAACAAGAGGGCCAAAGGGGCAAATGTTTAAGAAGAAGCTAGCCTGTGAGTACCCCTCAAACACCAGCCCTTGTCTCGTTAAGTCTTTAAAACATGAAGACTTAGAATGGACCCAACAAGAAAAATGCATTCAAGCACTTTCAAGTTCACAAAAATGCTCTCAAAACCAACTTTTCTCCATATTGACACCTAAGAACTAGATCCTCCTAACTTCACGAAGTCAGATGAGACAAAAAGCATTCCCTCACGACTTGGAAAGTACATTTATTTATGTTATCCTGCCACCTTCCCCCCTCAAATGCCAAATTGAGCTAAGAAGCCTATATTTTATGAAGCCACATTAGAGGAAAACACACACCCATTTAAAATCAGAACTGTTACATTCACATCATTTATTAATATTATCCAGTGTTGGAGAGGATGTGAAGAATTGAACACCTTCATAAAGTGAGTGGTAGTCAGAGAGACTATTGCTATGAACTTTCTGGAAGGCAGTCTGGCATTGTGTATCAAATGTAAAATAAGGAGATAATTATTTTTAAGCATGTAAGTACAAGGATGAACATTATAGCATTTCTTCCAATAGCAAAACAACAACAACCAAAAAAAAAAAACAACCAGAAATAATCACGACAGGGGGAAAAACCACTTAAGTAGCATAGTATACAGCTGTATAATAAATTCTATGTAGTTCATTTAAAAGGTACTGTATATCTACCTCTATTATTTTATTTTATTTTTTTTTTTTTATCCTCACCCGAGGATATTTTTCCATTTTTTGTACAGATAGAGTGGGAGGGAGAGAGAGGAAGGGAGAGAGAGAGAGAGACATCGACGTGAAGGGACACATCGAGTGGCTGCCACCCGCACGACCAACCAGGGCCGGGGACAAACTGCAACCGAAGTACGTGCCCTTAGCGGGAACCGAACCCGGGTCTCTCCGGACCACAGGCCGACGCTCTAACTGCTGAGCCAAACTGGCCAGGGCTACCTCTATTATTTTAAAAGAGATTTCTAATTTACATACAATAAAATGTACTGATCTTAAGTGTTTAGGTCATGAGTTCTGAATCAAAAGATGGTTACACCAAAGCTCCACCCCCAAAACGTTAGAGGCACTATTGCCCCTCATTGGGAGTGAGAGGGCATTCCTGAGTTCCCCTGCAGGTTGATGTCCCCCACACTTTACTCTTACTTGCTCGAGCCCCAGATGTAAATAGCCCAGGTGCTTCCCCAAGGCCCTCTTTGCCAGGAGATGACAGCCCAGGCCTTATTCCCACAGTCTCGTTTCTGTCCATTCACTCTCATCCAGCTCACAGCAACCTCACACTGGAAGTGCCCCACAGTTTCTTCCTCTGGATTGTGGCACATGACGAAGTTTCAGTGATCCCCAGGAGTCATTCAGGGGGCAGCCCTGGAGGCAAGACCTTCTGCAGGTTCTCCAGAACTGGAACCCCTACACTAGAACCCCTGCACTCACTCCTCATCTATCCTTGGTGACGTCCAAAGAGGCCTACCTGCAACCAGCTCCTGACCTTGACTTGAACTCTGCAAAGTATGAGAAACATCTGGATGCAGGATTCCTCATAATTCAAGAACTATGATTCACATCCTGTGGTTCCAGGCACACGCTGGCTAACTGCTGATACCCCAACACTTGCTAAGCCTCTGACCCAGCTAAAGTCCAAAGATGTTTCTGCAGCAACTGTGATGCCAAAAGAAACTCAGAATCATCAAGAAAAGTAATCCATCAGCTTTCACAAAGCGATAACTAGAGACCTCGGGAGGAAAGGTCTGTGAATGAAAGACTGCCGATGGACATGGGGCTTCTTTTAGGGCAGAAGACGTTATGAAATCTGATGGTGGTGACTGTTGCACAACTTGGTAAATATACTAAAAACCACTGAATTATATACTTCAAAGGGGTGAATTTTATGGTATGTGAATGATATGTCAACTTTTTTTTAAAGGACACGTCACTTAATAATTACAAGAAGTAGAATAAATAGAAGCAGGGTCCCAACCAGGATTTTATTCCAGGAAGACTGATTCTTATTAGGCTGACATCTATTTAACCCTTGCATTAATTTTTTTCTTCTTCTATTTTTTAAAAAATAGAATGCATCCTTGAGAACTACAGTGACATAGTTATAAAAGTTTTTCCTGGAAAACTCCCACAGCCTTGAAAACATCACGTCCTCCAGAAAGTTCCCGAATCCCTTTCCCACTTCCAAGTGCCCCTGTGGATTCTGGCTTCTACTAAGCACCCTTTATTCTGAAATTAGCTGTCACTAACACTTTATTCTGAAATTAGCTGTCTGCATCACCTCCCACTAGCATAGCCTTGGCACACAGAAGGGCATGAGAAATGTGTATTGAATGAACTGAACACCAGATCATCATCTTGTAAGAATCTTTTTTAATTGGTACTTAAAAAAAAAAAACCCACCTAATTTAATCCTGCAACACTGCACTTCTGCAATCGTGCAGCAAGTAATTTGCTACCTAAAACAACAGGATATTATCAAATGTCTTCTCTGAATAAATATGCTCATTCATGCCAAGAATAAATCAAGTGGACCCTTGAAGAGATCATTACCTTGGTACAGGTCAAGAGGGAAAATGGATCAGAGCATTAGAACCTGTGGTTCTTGGGGGGGGGGGAGGATGGTAAGAAGATAAACCATGTTCTCCTCTCTTTTCCATGAAAACCTTTAAACAACAAAGCTTTTAAGCAGCGTTATTAAGTCTGTACAAACCCAGCTCAGAACCAGAAGTCTCTTCCTGCTTTTCCTCTTCATTACTGATAGTACAGGGGCCTCTAAAAATTAGGAGGGTTTTGTCCACCCCATTGTATTCAACCAACATATGCCCAGAACTCTGACCATCAAAGCCACTGAGGTCTGAAAAGTTACACTCCTCACTCAGCTTGTTCCTGTGGGAGGGGAGTCCACACCTCTAACAGGTGTAGCATTCTGACCTCCTGGAGCCAACATCATGGTGCCCACCCCCGGGTACCTTAAGGGGCAATGTGCACAGATCTGGTGAGTGCCAGTCACCCCAAGAACAAACAGCCCACCTGGGGCTGTAGGAACCTGCCGATGGCACACCATCTCTGAGAGCCCTCCTTGTTATTTGTTATGAAAATGTTCAAACACAGAACAAGAAAAAGAACATCACAGCAAACTCCCTTAGACCACATCCCCCAGATTCAACAATTGTTCACATTTGCCCTTTAAAGTACCTTACAGATATAATCACACTAGCTATTTCATAATAACACCCAGATTCTTCATCACGCATCTCCCCAAATAAGAATATTATCATAAATGCCACAGTACCATTTTCCCACCTAACAAAATCAACAGTATCTCTCTACTATTAACTAATACTCAGGCCATGTCCAAATTTCCCTCATGGACATTCTTACAGGAGAGTCCCTCCCTTAAATCACACCCTGTCCCGGCCCTGCTCTCTCCCTCCTCCGCACCCCAGATGCTGCCCTGTCATCACCAAGTTGCGGTCACTGCAGCCCCCTCTTGAGTACCTGTGCAAAAGGTGCCATCGTTGGGGATGAACGTCTTGTTGTTGTTTGTGGCTCGATATCCTTCCAGGCAAATGCAGTAGAAGCCTCCGAGCGTGTTGTGGCAAGATGTGTGGTTCCCACAGACCACAGTGGCCCCAAACTGGCACTCATTTTTATCTGTTGACACAGTGAGATAACACCCAGGAAAGGCTATCAGTCCACACCGTGTTCGACATCCCACCGTCCTCCTGTGCTGTGGACTTGGGAATCGATATTCTGGGAAAAGAGTCCCCAGCCTCTTTGCCTGCCACTGTGCTTCTCAGACTACAGGACATGGGCCCCCCGGAGTCATACGCCAGGTGTATATGAAACCACAAGAGAAATCCAACATCTCCATCTGGAAATCCATCTTATTTGAAGATGGGGAGGTGGGGGTTCCGTTTGAACTTTTCCACACTTGAACAGGTCTCATCATAGGCCTGGGAAAATATATGTTGCAGAATCTCACTTTTCCAGGGCGGCCATTCTTCTTGCCTTTTCTCATGAAAGGAGGAGGATTTTACATGCAGTGATTAACTGAAAACATTGTTACTTCTCAGTTACCAGGAAACACAATGGCATTAGCGCGTTCCATCCGGGAGCAGGGCTACTATTGTAGCAGGAGCTCCTGCTAATGGTCAGTGACCCGTGTGGATAATATTAGTCACCCAGTGAGGCGGAGCTGGACTGTGGGATGCTTGATGAGTCCACAGAAGCCTGCCCCGAGTATTTTTAACTCAATAATTTGACATAGATGCAAAATGAAAGTAAACCTCCCTCCGGTCTCTGTCCTTGGGCCCAGGAATCAGCAGACTTTGGCCGTAAAGGACCGGTCGCAGGTCTCTGGTTATAAAAGCCCCACCACGCCTTTGGAGCCTGAAAGCAGCCATAGACAATGGGGGGTGTGGGGAGAATGAGCAGTGTTGTGTTCTAATAAAACTCTATTTACAGCGCTGGCCTGTGTGGCTCAGTTGGTTGGGTGTTGTCCCATGCACTGAAGGGTTGCCAGTTCAATTCCAGGTCAGGGCACATGCCCAGGTTTCGGGCTCAATCCCCAAGGCGGGGGGTAGAGATCAATGTTGCTCTCATATCTATGTTTCTCTCTCTCTCTCTCCCTCTCCCTTCCTCTCTCTCTAAAAATCAATTTAAAAATATATATATATGCTTAAAAAAAACAACTGTATTTACAAAAACAGACACTGGCCAAATTTGGCCCTCAGGCCATAGTTGCCAACTCTGCCCCAGCCTCTACCGTCAGAGGAAACTCCTATGATCAATTTCTTATGCATCTTTTAAGAGCTGATCTATCCAGCTAGTAGTCTGTATTTTTTTTTTTTATCCTCACCCGAGGACATTTTTGCATTTATCTTTAGATAGAGAAGGAGGGATAGAGGGAGGAAGAGAGAAAGAGAAACATCAAGGTGAGAGAGACACATCGAGTGGCTGCCACCCACACAACCCCAACCAGGGCCGGGAAACTGCAACCGAGGTACGTGCCCTTAGTGAGAACTGAACCAGGGTCTCTCTGGTCCACAGGCCGACGCTCTAACCACTTAGCTAAACCAGCCAGGGCTCCAGCTAGTAGTTTGAAGTTTTTTGTTTTTGTTTTTGTTTTTTGGGGGGAGGTTGGAACCATCAATCATCAATTTATGAACCGCAGGTTTTTTGTTTTGTTTTGTTTTGTTTTGTTTGATACATGCCCCTAGCCGCTAGGGCCTAGAGAGAACGGAACCTGGAACTCTGTGGTCCTCAGGCTGATGCTCCAGCTGCTGAGCCAAACAGGCCAGGGCTGCACCGCAGTTTTTGTTTGTTTTTAGTGAATTATTACAGCCTTGGTTCCCTTGAAGCAGTTCCAGTGCCTCTCACAATGGCACTCAATTCCTGCTAACTCAGAAGCACCCTACACCCTAACATGGTGTTGGATGGTTTTCGTTTTTCTTCTTTTCATTTTTCTTGCATTATCTTTGTTAAAATTTAATTGAGACATGATTCATTGTTAAAACTGTCTGTGGTTAGATGTGCACGGGAGCACTTACAGAGACAGAGCCAGGCCAAGCGTCCATCCAGCTGACAACACTGCACGGGGTCGCAGACACAAGCCCAGCTGCCCATAAAATGGGACATGCCCATCCTTTGCCATCCCTGCCGTCGCCTCGGAGGCATGTCTCCCCTGTAGGCTTCGCCAGAAGGAATATTTGGGTTTGGAGGAGATTCAGGAATGTTTAGGTCCCTTGGTATAACACCATGTTATAGCACCTCTGGCACAGGTATAACTCACCTGTAACCTGCGGCACAGTCTCAGCAGGCCCAGTACTAGACTATGCAGTGTCTAGTGTTTGGGGGCAAGTACCACATAAGTTAATAAAGCGCTCTCCTTCCATTGGGAGAAGTCTGTATGGTTCAGAAGTCAAAGAGCGATCAAGAGGGCAGGGAGCTTTCCTGGGAGGAGGACCTCATTAGGGAGAGAGCAGAGAAGAATTATCCATGGTCCTCAACTCCAACTTCATTGCCAAGACGCTGCTGGCAATGGGTGTAGGGAGAGGGACGACGGAAATTCCCAGGAACCTTGGGCTGCCGGGCAGCCACACTTCTCGTGGGCAGAATCCTAGAGAGAGAGCAAAGATGGCCCATCTCTAGCCTGCAGGGATCAGCAGTGGAGCGTGGTTGTGAAGCTTGTGTCTCTGAAGTAGAATATGACTTTTTGTTGTTCTTGTTGTTAATCCTCACACAAGGATATTTTTTTCATTGACTTTTAGAGAGTGGAAGGAGGGAGGGGGGGAAGAGAAAGACAGACATCAATGCGAGAGAAACACATGGATTGGTTGCCTCCCACATGCACCCAGATCGGGGCCAGGGATTGAACCTGCAATCCAGGTACATGCCCTTGACTGGGAATCGAACCTGCAATCCTTTGGTCCTTGGGCAGATGCTCTAACCACTGACCCACACAGGCCAGTGCTAGAATATGACTTTTTGAACTCAAAACTGAGTTGTTGTTTTTTAGGGAGGACAACAAAACACAGAAAAACAAAGATATCACAACAAAGTTGTATACACTGCCGGTCCACAACCTCAAGGCAAAACTATCAATATTTTTACTGCATGTAACAAGGGTTCTGGGAGGAAACTGTGATTACAGTAACATTCACTATTATAAAGTTACTGTGAAAGTCTCTCTCTCTCTCTGAATTGGGCTTGAATCTGGATATTATCTGATTCTCATGGCATGATAAATACCAAGAGGCAAAAAAAATAATCTCAGATGCTTCTAGCCTAAACGTTTTTATAGTCTTTTTTTTTTTTTATCCTCACCCGAGGACATTTTTCCTTTTTTTATTCAGATAGAGCAGGAGGGAGAGAGAGGAAGAGAGAGAGAGAAACATCGATGTGAAAGGGACACATCGAGTAGCTGCCTCCCACATGACCCAACCAGGGCCGGGGACAAACTGCAACCGAGGTACACGCCCTTAGCGGGAACCGAACCCGGGTCTCTCTGGACCGCAGGCCGACGGTCTAACCACTGAGCCAAACCGGCCAGGGTCGTTTTTATATTCTTTTAAGTCACCCAAGACCCCAAAAGGTCATAACCACAAAAAATTTGGAGGATGGATTCTGGTAGACATGAGACCCAAAACAATAGTATTTCATCAATTAGCCAAAAAGTCTAATAGGCAATTGTGTTTTGTTTTTTTCTCATGATACTAATACACATAGCTTTATATCAAAACAAGCAGAGAAATTAAGAAACTCCATGTTGACTTGAATTGCTAAGTTAAACTCAAGACTTGAAACAGATTTCAAATTTGTGTTAGGCCAGAGAGTTTCCAGAGATTCAAGTTCAATGACCTCTAACATGAGGGATGCTTCCTTGGAAACACTAGCGACAGGACATAGCCAAACACTAAAACAAAGACCTATTATAATGGACAAAACTTCTTGTAATAAAAACAGAGGGACTAAAATAACAATGTTTTCCTCCCAAGGACATCAACTCTTTAACACTAGAGAATCTTGTTTCTTGGTTCATTCAACTTTTCAACTTAACGCAGGATTCAGAACTTACCAATACACTGAGTCCTCCCGTTTCCCACAAATCCGTATTTGCAAATACACATCTTCTTCCCTTCTCTTTGCTTGCAGGTGGCATGTTCATGGCAAGTGGCACAGATGTCTACATCTGAATCATAAATAGCATATTTCAGGAAAAGAAAAATTCAATCACCTACTTTAGAGGAATCATATTTTGTGTATAAACATTTATAATGGAGAACCAAAATCTGAATATTAAAATTTAAAAGGATCTGATCCCATCCTGAAAAACTACTCATTGTCCAAAGAGTCGAGTGCAAACTCCTCCACCTGGCAATCAAGGCTCATAACAGCCTAACTCTTGACTAACTTGTCCAGCTTGGCTGTTCCCAAACCCGAACCACACACGGTATTCTCTGGGCAGGAGGTTGGCTAGTCTTTCCCATTCATGCTGTCCACTCATACTCCATGCCATGGTCATGAGGTTCTTCCCTCCGATTAGAATGCTTATCCCTCCATCTCTGTCCAGCTAGCTGGCACCTATTCCTATTTCAAAACGCAACTTAAACATCACATTCTCCTGACATTTTCCCCATTCCTTGAAGAAAATGAAATGTATCTTTCTCTGTGTCCCCCTAGCATCTGTATATTACCCTATCAACCATGTTAATTTTCCATTCTATTCTATTCCAGCTCTGTCTTCCCAGCTTGGTATTATGCATGAGTTTTTCAAGGACAGGGATCATGTCATTTGCCCAAGTGTCATTATTTATACAATGTAAGCATTCTATTTTTTTGTTGTTGTTGTTGTTAATCCTCATGCAAGGATATTTTTCCAATGATTTTTAGAGAGAATGGAAGCGGGGGGGGGGGGGGAATGTCAATGTGAGGGAGACACATTGATTGGTTGCCTCCCACATGACCCTGACCAGGGCTGGAGATTGAACCTGCAACCCAGGTATGTACCCCTGACTGGGAATTGAACCCAAGACCCTTCTGTCCTCGTCCAATGCTCTAACCTCTGAGCCAAACCAGCCAGGGCCATTCTATCTATTTTTATTGACCAACTGAATAAAGGGGTCTGTAACCCTACTAACTATACCTCAGAAAGCTAATGGTGGGGAGAAAAACTTCTCTACTACCCTATCTATTTTCCTTTTAGGAAAAAACTGAACGTGTTGACAATGTCAGTTAGATAATAGCGGGTCCCAGCAGGATGACCAGATCCCAATAACTTAGATAAGCAGCAAAAATGTCTGGGGCTAAAACTCCTGAAACATCCAAATCTACCAGATGGTGATCTATGGCTCAAGATCAAACAAGAATTCCGACCAGAGGCGAGTGAGGTGTCGCCTTGCACTCTGGGTGTCTGTAATTTCAGGAGTGGCCCGGTAAGGAGAACCTCCGCATGGAATTTCATCTCAGTCTGGCCCCATTACTGCCCTGGTAATAAAGACAGAGCCCTCAGGCTGCTCCGGGTATGAAACCAACTGAGACAGGGAGATTTTTAAATACTCTAAACCAGGATTGTTGTTTGTTTTTTTAAACAAAAGATAACACAGAAATTAGACAAACCACTACTTATTACTAATACCAAATTAACCATGGCATCTTAAAAAAATTGATCATACCCAGACCATAAAGAAAAATACAACAAATTTTTTAAAAAATATAAATTGTGGAAGTCATACTATCTGACTACCATGTAATAATGTGATAAAACTACAAAATGAGATTAGCATACCCCCCCAAAAACCCTATCTGTAACTACAGAATATTCTCCCAGTTAATTCTTGGGACAAAAAGGATGTCAAAATTGAAATGTTTACTACCAGATGTAAAAACTTACCTACTCCAGAAATTTTGAGTTTTACATGTCTTTATGCTTTAAACAAGAGAAAGAAAATCAGACAGCCAGGGGTGAGGTGGGGGGCAACTAGAATTTTAACGCAGGAAGCTTTAAAAAGATGAAAAAATAAAATAGAGGTTTATGAAGATGTTCGGGTCTAGTATAAATCAAAAAGATGTTAAAAATTAGAAAATACATTCTAATTCATTAAAAACAATTTCTTTTCCAAAGTCAGTGCATCATAAAGGTCAGTAATCAAAACTCAAGTAAGACAGGTGAGGGGGTTATAAAAAGAACACCTACAGCCCTGGCCGGTTTGGCTCAGCGGTTAGAGCGTCAGCCTGCGGTCCAGAGAGACCCAGGTTCAGTTCCCGCTAGGGGTGCATGCCTCAATTGCAGTTTGTCCCTGGCCCTGGTTGGTCAGGCGGGTGGCAGCCACTCGATGTGTCCCTTTCACATTGATGTTTCTCTCTCTCTCTCTCTTCCTCTCTCTACTTCCCACTCTATCTGAACAAAAAATGGAAAAATGACCTTGGGTGAGGATTAAAAAAAAGAAAGAACACCTACAAACTTAGGAATAAGAAAGAGCTCAGAATAAAAAAATACATATAACATTTCTTTAAATTACAAATGAAAGATTTTCAGATTTAATACCACAGATTTTAATAGACTCTCAACCCCACCCTACCCCCTCAAAATGACCTCCAGGACTCAGAAGGTACAAGTCCTGGGAGGGAAGATAAGAGCAGACGAAGAATGTCAACAATATTTCAGAAAGTGGAAGAAGTGGACACATGAGAATTGCCTGAGAGAGAAGAACAGCCAACTTTAAAAAACTCAGTAATTGGCGTCACTGAGTACATCAGAAGGCAAGCATAAGGGAGAGGCCTGAAAGTTCATGGAACTGCCTGAAAATATGCCTAAGGAGTAGTTAGATGCCCAGATCCCCTCACTAACCCCAGCATAGATGAAGTTTTGCAATGGGAAGAAAATGGACCAGAAAAATTCCTGGTAACAGGGACAACAGACAAAGCTGAAGTGAGCATGAGCCCCTCACCTAAATGTTCACTAATATGGGCTAAATGCATGTAACCATTTTGACATTAAAAAAAATATATATGTTTGTATTGATTGATTCTTTAGAGAGAGAGGGAGAGAGATAGAAACATCGATGTGAGAGAGAGATATCGATCGGCTGCCTCCTGCACGCCCCCTACTGGGCAAAGAGCCCGCAACCCAGGCATGTGCTCTGACTGGGAATCAAACCAGGACCTCTCAGTACATAAGATGACTCTCAATCCACTGAGCCACACTGGTCGGGTATCATTTTGACATTTTAACACATCTTTTAAAACAGTTCCATAGGGCACTGTCAATCTATCATCACATGTGACCAAAATTCTGAGAGTACTTTTAAAATAATGGATCCCCAGTCAAGTCCACAGACCCAGCTGTGATTAAACATAAAATGATGAACATTCTCCCCAGTGCGTGTGTACAGTGCAGTAATAGATATAAACACCATCTAATAAAATCAACCAAAAATGGTAACATGTTTGTTTTTTTTAATATGATATGCTTGTCTCTATAAAGATGGCAGCATTTATATACATCCAGTTCCAGAAATTAACATGTGGAAAGAGATTACTTCATATAACTGTTGAGTGAATCTAACAAACACACACAAGAAACTAAGAAGCAAAGTAGTACCACCCACTCAGATAAATTAAAGGCAGTCCCATCTGAATTAGTGAAGGAAAGAACCTAAGTATTTTAAAATAAATTTAATTAAGTTCAGGTTCATTCAATAGATAGCACCAGACAGACAAAACATGGCCCTGTAGGAAAGCAGCCAGGTAGAAGAAAGGGCTGGACTTGAGAGTCAGAACTGGATCCTAAAACTAGCTGAGTCCAATTCATGTGTGACCTTTAGCAAATCACTTAATCTCCCCAAGTCTCGGTTTCTGCATCTGTAAAACAAGGGCTTTGGGCTTCTCAGATTTTAAAATGCATTCAAATTACCTGAGGACCTTGTTAAACCCAGTCTCTGATTCAGTGGGACCAGGGTGGGGCCCTATATATTGCATTTCCCCCAAGCTCCCAGGTGAGCCACATTTGAGCAGCGGGTTAAATGGCCCTGAAGTCCTTTCCCTCTAATGTTCTGACACTTCATCCTCAGGACACCTGTGTTAATGACTCATTAAGAATACTTTAGCATAAGTGGAACCCCAAGGACAGTACCTGGTATGTTTGGCTCAATAAACATTTGTTCCCCACACTGGCCAAAAAGACAAGATGTATGCCAGGGTACCAAAGACTTCTCAGCCCACCTGCAGAAGAGAAAGTGGTTTCCAGAGGAAGAGGGGCCTCAGCCCAAGTTTCTCATTCAGCCACAATGAGCATAGTCTGCTGGGCCGTGTAGGGCGGCCCTCTGAGTTCTCAATGCTTGAAGGACCAAGCAGCCTCTTGTCCTAAAGAAAAGGGCAGGGAGCACAATCCCAATCCAAAACTAGATGATGGAGAGGGAGATGGGGAGGGAGGGGGCTGCTAACCACACACAGTGTCATTGTTCAACAGCCCGAAGCTCAGGTAAGATTCATCTGGAATTAGGGTGACCAATCCGTCTGAGTTTTAATACTGAAAGGCCTGCCCGGGATGGTTTGGTTAAGTGGTTAGAGTGACGGCCCTCAGACCAAAGAGTTGAGGGTTCAATCCTGAGCAAGGGAACATACCTAGGTTGCAGTTCCGTTCCCAGCCCTGGTCGGAGTCTTGAGGGAGGTAACCAATCGGTGTGTCTCTCTCACATCAGTGTTTCTCTCTCTCTCCCTCCCTCCCATCTCTGAAAATCAATGGAAAAGGAAAACTATCCTCAGGTGAGGATTTTTTAAAAAAAGTCCTGTATCCCAGGGAAAACCCTCAATTTGGTGCAAATCAAGACAGTCACCCTACCTGGAGAGCTTGTTAAAACAGAATCAATCCCCAGAGACTCTGATTCAGTGGGGGTGGGGTGGGGTCTGAAAATCTGCATTTCTGACAAGCTGCCAGGTGGACCACGCTATGAGCTGTGTTGCAGGTCTAGCTCAACCTCAGGACTTGGGTCAGACTCCTGGGGAAGGAAACAGCAATACTGAAGAAGTCTTTGACCAAGTCTAGATTGATGCGAAGCATAGCCCTGGGACCAGTGTGCCGGAGAGAAGAGCCCCAGCGAGGGGAACTCTCCAGGCCAACAGAAAGATCGCTATGCGTTTGCTATAACCTGAGCGGGACTTCTGTCCAGGGCAGCTTCACATCCAGGTCAA